CGTATGAATCCATATAGAAACAAACACTGCTTTGGTCCCTCCACCTCTCTTTCCTGTAACTCCACCGTTGATCCTTAACGACATTTATTGATGTTCTCGATTACTAATTAAAATCCATACATCAAGCTTGAACAACTTGTTCTGTGTAAGATTTGAATTGATAGTTATATCTGGTTATAGCAATAATTGTAGGCTTATATACCAGCTTGATATAAAAGTGTTTACATAAAACAAAGGGGGTAATTCACTATTCAGCTCTTTGGAAGTATATATATTCTAATATATTGCATGTCGTGTTATATTAGAGCGAAGAGTAGTACGATGCCATACCACATATGACATATATGGAGATGTATTATGATAACATCAGCTAGTGGGTGTTTACTTACTAATCATGTAATATGAATGCTCCATATCTGCATGATTTAAAAACTCTGGATATCTTCATTAGGAATATGATGCAGAACAAATAATTGAAATGATTCTAGCATAGTACGTGAGATAAATGATTGTTATTATTCGATCATTGGGGTGATGAATATTCCCATTCCTTGCTAATAAAAATCTTTTGTATAAACATTCAGAATCAGTGTTTAATTTCATCTTTCATCGATGTGACGGTAAAATAAAGAATTTGTTTAATTAAGAATTGTGCGTATATTGGGAAATAATTTTATACTACTACTTGAACATGACGCATTTATGTAAGAAAAATAAAATAAAATACTGAACAAATTTAAATGTTAACATACCTGTGCTCGGAAACGAACAAAGTACTAACCCAAAATAGGTATATGCGTGGCTAAAACGTATGGATAAAAACTGATTAGCGCACCTAATATTTCGGTCTTTGATGTTCCTAATCAAGTCTTAGGGGTTGATTGGTAGAACATTAGCATAAGTATTATGCTCTCTATTATCCAATCAACATTTGGCAAATAAGCATTTAGAAAAGCATTTGCATTTAGGGGTTGATTGGTAGAGCATTAGCATAAGTATTATGCTCTCTATTATCCAATCAACATTTGGCAAATAAGCATTTAGAAAAGCATTTACCAAATGCAAATGCTCTCCAAATGCTCTTTGCTCAATGCTCTCATATAGAGCTTTTGGGAGAGCATTTGCATATAGAAAATATAAAATTTAATAATATTTATATATAATTAATTTATTTTTGTTTAAAAATATAAACCATATTTTTATAATTAAATATAAATTTATATTTTAAAAAATAAAAATAAAGATTATAATTAATTCTTTTTAAAAGAACAATATTTCACATTTAAAATATAATATAATTTATATAATTACATATATCATTCATTATTTTTAATAACAAACATAACATAATATAATTTATATATTATCGATATAAACATATTATTTAGACCCTAATAAATAAATTATATATTAACTTTTATGATAATTTTATATATGAGTAATTTAGTGCTCTGCCAATAAATAAATAATAATAATTTATATATAAATTATAATTAATTAATTAATTTATTTAATAATAATTATAATTTAATAATAATTAATTAAATTATAACTATAATTTTATATATGAGGAATATGTTATATCCAAAAAAATTAATATTTTTTATAAAAAATAATTATTTTTAATAAAATTATATATTATTAATAAAATTATATATATATATATATTATTTTAAAAGAAATATATTATTTTACTAACTATTATGACAATTTTAAAATTGTATATTGCTAATGCTCTGCCAATCACTTTATTGAAAAATTTAATGAAAACATACAGCTTCTGTAGCATACTTCTTCTGCAGCATACTGCTACTGCTTTATCATCTGGTGTACCAATCGAGACCTTATATATGCACCATCACCTCTTGATGGACGTGGGCCAGATTTTGTTTATTAAAATAATTTTTCCTTTCAATAAAATATTATTATAAAACATCAACATTAGAGCATCTCCAACGGTGTTACCCGTTGAAGTCTTTAAGAAAAAGGGTATTTCTGATTTTTTTTTTAAAAAAGAAAAAAATAACCATTCGCGGGCTGCCACGTATCCTGTGGACCCTCAAATAGTGTAAGGATTTGCTAAAAAACCGTCTTTATTTAGGAATTTTAAAGATCGAATTTTTAAATTTTTTGTGGGGTCTCTTGATTATTTAATTATTTTTTCCCTAAAAATTCTTTCCTAAAGACTCCAATTGGAGGTGATCGTAGACTACTTAGAATGGTTTGTTGTAAATCATTTTACAACAGTTGAAAAAATTAATCCTACTACAATGGTGTATTGTAATAGAAAGGGAAGGAAAGAGAAGTGATCTGGCGTGAGGAGGCAAATTTAATGTTGAAAATTTTCAACACCCATGAAAGTAAAAGAAAGAGGATAAATGTGTCAAGTGTTGCATTATAATTGGCTGCTTTGATTTTCATGTTTTTTTCCATTTCAATTATATAACTTCAATTATCTCATAGTATTTATGAATAAATATATGAAAATTTATAATTTTCCATTTTTATAAATAGAAACTACCTTCATTTGATTTGGACATAAAAAAAACTCATCTTTAAATTAAAAAAATGATTTAGTCTCCAATAAACTTTTGTTTTAGCTTTAAATATGTGTTTAGCTAAAAAAAAGGTTTTGTGGTACCCGTATTTACAAATCATGTGTGTGCTAGATCCGAGTTGCGTGATTCAAATATACATCACGAATTGCAAGCAGATCTAGTCAAATACATATGGGCATAATTCAGAATGTTTTGTGGTGAATGAAATTTTTAAGTTTGTGAGTTGAGATTATTGTACTAATTAAGTTATGAGTGCTTTCTTATTTGTTGTGTGCTTATTGTATTGCATTTTAAATTTATGTTCACTGTATATGTTTCAGTAATTACTATTTCTATTTCTCGTTTTTATTATTTGTATAAAACTTTAAAATAATATAAGAACTGTTTTTTTTTTTTAATTTTAATTAAGAAAAACTAAAAATATTTTTAAAAATTCTTATTTAAAAATAGATTTTGTAGCAAAAAAATAAAAAAATGTCAAATCATGAATTAAGAACTCTAATCATAAAAACTCCTAATAAACATGTCCTAATTAACGAGATATGTTTTTATAATATATGGGGAATATCTAATGAAATGCAGCACGAAACATATTGATATATGTTTACTATAGATATGCACCATTGGTCATTGCGACTATATTCTCTTTTGGGGTCAGATATTTTTAATTTATTCAGTCTGGTGGTCTAGCTAGTGAGCGTGGGGTATATTTATTTTTGATATATCACATATATAATACACACACAAGATCTGCAATTATCATCTAAGCTGCAAAATATCAATACGTATCTAGTTCTGATTCTGAAGTTATCATGTTATTTACATGATGAATAGTATACAAACTAATGCTATTCAATATTAATGAATTAATATCTATGAAGTATCACCAGGAAAAAGATTAATATATTGCCATATCAAAAGTTAGGTTGATCAGCATCCACTCACAGGACACTCTTCAAGATATCAAGTTTAGTCAAATGATTTTGCAGTGATCGGTCTAAATCTGGAGCATTTAGATATATAAGCACAAAGGTGTCTTTCGATTATATATAATAAAAGTTCTTCGCCACCGCTGTTATGTCCACTGCGGTCGGAGAATATATGCGTTCGATATATTTTTTAAGTCAGGACTGGCTTTTCACTTACGTCCATAATCATACTATTACTCCAGTTATCGCGTTTTCTTGTTTTCTATATAACCAGCAAGAAACAATTCTTCAGTCAAAACAAAAAACAATTCTATTAGGTTTTATTTTATTCAATACGAAACTATCACGTGCGTGTTTGTGTATACAATACAGTATAGACCCAAAATCTGGTGATGTAATGCATTTGAAACAGAAAGAAGAGAAACATCATCGTCATCATATCATATGATGCAGCAAAGTGTTAATTGGTCGTTGAGTTAATATTCTCTTTTGTTGGAAGTGGTCCTTAGTTTTGTGTCTGTGGTCCATCAGACGATGTACAAACTGTCTTTAAATTTGTTTCCTAATCTTAAAATGTCTCCAAAGTTAACTAATTAAGGTTTCGATCTAACAGAAACGAGAAAGTTGTCTTTGAATTATTCTTTCACGTTACTTCTTTCCATGTGGTCCTTCAGTTCATGTTTCTTTTGTTGTTTTCTCTATTCATAGGATTACCAAAATGAAACAAAGATAAGAAAGCATAAGAGAAAGATAGAAAAGAACGACTCTCCGGTAGTTCATGTGGGCCTCACCCGGATTATACCATGTAATAAATATTAGGTGGGCGGCCCATACGCGTATACGGACGATAGTATAATTCATATATTACATGTATAAAATACAGTGTGAGTATATAAATATTGTTTTCTCTCTTACCAAGTTACTCCGTTTTTCTTTGTATTTTCTATCTTATTTATTTTGTTTACTTTTGTTTTTCTTTTCACAGACACTCGCTTTGTCTCTTTTTGTATCTCTCTATCTCGTTCATTTTATCACTCTTTATACATCTCTCACTCTTTTTCCTTTCTTTTTTCAGTTAATTAAAGAATCTCAAAATCTTTCAAACTTACATTCACTCTCTCACAATCACTTATATTCATTCTCTTACCTTCATCCTTATTATAACCCTTAAGAGCAGGTGCAATGGTGGTTCTTAATGTAGTCCTTAGACAAATCCTTAGGTTTTAGGGAATAAAAAAATATTAAATAAATCATAAAAGCTAAGGACTAATCCTTAAGAAAGGATTTTAAGGACCAAGTCCTGTTGACGTGGCTCTTTCTTCTCTCTCTTCTCTGGTTGTTTCTCACAGAAATTTCGTGTCCAAAACTTGAAGGAGATCGCGTCGAGGATTCCAAAGCGTAAGGTTGAGCCGACGCTGTTCACCGGGAAGAAGCTTCGATCAATTCCTTCACGCCGGAAGAGAGATCAAATCTCTCCAGTTCCTATCCATCCACCTCTCCGTCACAAGGAAACATGAGACTTCCGTCGATTCCTGCTCCAATTTGTTCTGTGCAGTCGACGACAACGTTTCAGCGCTTCTTCAGTACGCAAATTACCAATCGTCATCCTCTTAATTATACCTTCAGATTTTGATTATTTCCCAGATAGTATCAATAACCGTTACTCCTCTATTAGCTTAGGGCATATCAATCATGTGATGCTGATGTTCAATTCGATTCCATTGTTATTGACTGATTCAAACGTTATTGATTGATACAACTTTTTTTTTGTTTTTTCAAAGTTTTGATTTTTATTTTGTTTGTTGGTGATAGCCCTCAAGACTGTTTTAAAGCAGCGTGGAGTTCACACAAATCAGTACATGTGAAGGCTCAGCTGATCTCAATTGCTAATTCCCTTTCTGGAGATCAGAACTCTGATTTAGTTTCGCAAGGTTGGCTGTATTGTGTGAGGAGAGGACAGGGTAGAACACCTAAGCTTCCACACTTTGATTGGACTGGGTTCATATTCCTCTGTTTCTCTCTGTTCTTTCAGGATAGGTTATGACTGAGGGCTCTGTGATCATGCTCGTGCTCTTGTCAAAGCCAATGGTCTTGAAGATATTGTTGAGGTGATTCAAGGTTTTGTTGAAGATATCTCTTTGCCTGAGAAAGGTATTGTTTTTTTTTTAATTTGGTTTTGAGTATTAGGACTTGTTTCTTCTGATAGCGATGTTACTCTTCTTAGCCGTTACATGAATCTTATTTATTCTAATCAACATTACATGAATTGATATGTTCTACGTATTCAATTTAAATGAGCAGTTGATGTGATTATCTCGGAGTGGACGGGATACTTTCTTCTGCGTGAGTCCATGTTTGATTCTATGATTTGTGCTCGTGACCGATGGTTGAAGCCCACCGGTGTCATGTAAGTTGATTTCTGTTATTTGAAAATATGCGTAAGGGTTACTTATTGTTACCTTTTTGAGAGCTTGATGTGTGTGGTGTGTAACTATACTGTGTCATAAGTTGTGAGGAACAAGTGTGCGAAGAATTGGTTTGATGTTGGTTGTGTGTGTAAGTTCTAATAAGCTTTGAGTTCAATAGGTACCCTAGTCATGCTCGCATGTGGCTTGCAACTATCAAGTTAAACATGGCAGATCGGAAGAAGAATGATTTGGATGGTGCAATGGCGGTAAGGAGAGAAGGTTCAGATTGAGGAGCAGAGACGCCGCTTGCACCATAACGCAATGGCTGATCCAAACTGGAAATGCTCAGACTTTCCATACGACAAGTAGGTTCTTTGTTCATTGTGCATTAAAATTGATAATGTGTAGTGACTTTTGTAAAAAAAGTTTTACAAATTTTATAATTTTTAATTTCTAAGATTCAATTCAAAAAAAAAAAAATTCTAAGAATTCCATAACGATAACACCATTGGACATACATTTATGATAAGAATCCTTAACTATTCAAAAAATATATATATATATATATATATATTAGTGTTAAAGACTCCAATGGTGGGTAACACCATTGGAGTTGCTCTAATACTTCACTTTCAAACCTTCTCTATCCTTCTTTTGTTGCAAAGTTTCACCGTTAAATCTTCAAAAGTCTCTTACATAATATTAATAAATAATTTCAAAATCTATCTCACTAACATTCAGTCTCTCACTTATATTCTCTATCATCTTCATCCTAATCATAACCTTTACTTTCATCCTCATCATCACCATCTCTCGCCTCTCTCTCTCTTCCTTCCCTCTCTCACATATTTTTTATATATTGTTTAACATAAATCTCACAATTGATTAACCAAACTAATTTCTTATTAAATTCTCTTCAATCATCACACTATCTTATCAAAAAATGATGCATTTGACCAAAATTTTCAATAAAAAAAATTAAATATCTATATAAGTATATATTTTTTTCTTTTACTTCAATACATACATATTTTAAGTAAATCTGATAAATTGGGTTTAAAAAAAAAGTAAATCAGATTAATTAATTATATATCATAAAAATATCTAACTCTTTAAATGATGTGATGTCATTATTTTAGACATAGATACTGAATATAAACATGAGATTCAACAATTTTAATATATCAAAATAACATGTTTCTATTTAAAGAAATTTTGTTAGAAATTTATTATCATACATTTTAAATGTTTATTTTACCAAAAAATAAATATCATTATTTAAAAAAATATTTTACATTTACTTCACATTATATTTTGCATTTTCGAGATTAACAATTTCAGAACTCATCATTTATATTTATCAACCTTACTCAAATTTTCTTCATGTTGTATAAACACCTAAAAATAATTAGCTTACAATATAGTAATACATAAAAATATATTTCGGTATAAAAATAAAAATACGTTTTAAAAAATAAATAATAACGAAGAATACAACAAAAAGCTTTATTATTCTTCACTCATGGTTTCATTTATGCCTCCTTTCTTTTTTCTTATTAAAAATAAAAATACTAATTTTATTATACTCAAAGCTATATGAATTCCATGGACAGAGTATTAACTCTAGTCTCCTATTAATCTAATGTTCTAATTTTATTAATTTTATAATATAATAAAAATTTCGTTGATTAATATTATTTTAAATGACTTACTATATAATTTTATTCTAATCAAAGCTATAAGTCTTATAGGAATAGAGTATTAGCTCTAGTCTCAGATTAAGATAATGTTCTAATTTTTTTCAATTAATAAACGTTGTCATTTATCTATATTTTTCTAAAACGACGTACCATATAATTTTTAAAAATATAAAAATACATAAATCATTTTTGAAAGTGATAACTCAACTATATTATCAAAATTTGTCTCTGAAAAATTGGATTTTTTTTAAATTGGATTTTTTTTTAAAAATTGTATATTTAAGTAATTGGCATTCATATGACATATTTCAAAATATATATATAGTGAGTGAGTATAAGAAATGTTATTAGGTTTAGGTTAATTAGCTTTCTGTAATATATGATTTATTTATTCACTATTAATAGAAATATTTTTAAGAAAATTTAGATATGTATTTCTATAATATAATATGTATTTATATGTATATTCTAGTTTTTTATAATAGACGCTGTGATATTTAATTATTTCTATAAACAAATTTTGTTAACTTATATGTAATTAAGGTGGTTAATTGTTTGTTTGGTAATATATATTAGATTATGTAATTTTAAGATTAGTTTCCTTTTTGAAATTTTAATTAAATAAATAAAAATTCAAATATCAACAACCAATCAAATTAAGAGAATTAATTCTACATTTAACCTATGATTAACACATAAACAAAATTCACTAAAGTGACTTTTCTCAATTAATATATATGACGATGAGATATAATATTTTAAATATAAAAAACACTAATCATTTTTAGAAGTGATAACTGAACCATAATATCACATTGTCAGTTACAATGATTTGGAATTTTTTAAAATTATATATTTGACGGTTTTGCATTCATTTGTCATATTTTTATAATATATGTACAGTATATAATTAATAAGTAGAAATATTATTAGGTTTCTATTTATTAATTTTCTGCAATATATGATTTATTGTAGCCACTACAAATATAATTTTTAAGAAATCGTTATATAACTGTTTATGTAGTATCATATTATTTATACTTATATTATAAATTTATATAATGCAATATATGATAATCAATTGTTTCAACACAAAAAAAAATAATTTAATTTATTTAAATTTAAGATGTTTGATTGTTTATTTGGTAACATATATTAGATTAGGTAATTGTATGACTTGTTTCCTTTTAAAAATTTGATTTAAATAAATAAAAATTCAAATAACAACAACCAATCAAATTAAAAGAATTAATTCTGAATTTCACCTATGAGCGACACCTAAGCAAAAATCATTAAAGTAACTGCTCAAATAATATATAGTAGGATTGAAATTTGGAGTCAGTAAGCAAAGGAAAAAAGTATACTGAATATGAGGTCATAAAACTAATTATAACTAGTTTGAAAACCATTTTAGATAGAAAAAAAAAACTAAATCTAGCGCTAATCTTGTTTTGATTCTTAAAAGATTTTGGACCAAAATATGCAATTCTTCAGCAAACAACTATACTTTTTATAACATCAAAGCTAATCAAGTTGCTATAGTTACATAAAAAAAATATTCTTTTAATGCATAAGGTTTTAATTAACTACTAGATTTTGATCTTCTTTTAATGCATAATGTTTTAATTAACTACTAGATTTTGATCTACGCTTAGAAAGCATGAGTATTTGTTGTTGCCCATTTGATAAAATTTGAATGAACTCATAACTTTTTTATAAGAAATAAACAATTTAAAAGTTGTTCTACTATAATGTTTATGTTTTCATAGTGCTTTTATATCCGATCCAGACTTGTGGTAGAACGGATAGATCCAGTGATCCATATATAGTCTGGTTTAGATTTAATGAAACAAAATATAGTAAAAATCCAAAAACCTCACTATTAACCCACGATTATATTGGTTGATCTGTAAAAATAACTCATATATTTTTAATACTACATAAAATTGAATAAACTTGTGATGACTTTGATGATTTTTATATTATGTAGTTTGAAGAAAATGAAAAAAAATGTAATAGATAGATTAACAAAATCAGTTAAGATATAAAAATTATATTATTAATATAATTTCCTTTTAGTTATATAATAAATATAATAATTTTATATCTTAATTTGAAATTTATTTTTTCTATATAAAATACATTTCTCGATAACAACATAATTCACAAGAATTATCTTATTTTCTAAAATATTCTATATTCATATAAATTCATTTTATTTATAAATAAATTATATATAAAAATTAAAATCTGATAAATAAATAAAATTGCCTAAATTTATGGAGAACATGACAACTAAGCAAATTTACTCTATACTATTATTTAAGAAGTAAATTTGCTTAGTTGTCATGTTCTCCATAAATTTAGGTAATTTTGTTTATTTATCATATTTTTAATATTTATATATAATATATTTATAAATAAAACGAATTTATTATACTATTATTTAATTTTCTTAGTTGTCATGTTCTCCATAATTTTAGGTAATTTTGTTTATTTATCATATTTTTAATATTTATATATAATATATTTATAAATAAAACGAATTTATATGAATATATCATATTTTAGAAAATAAGATAATTCTTGTGAATTATGTTGTTATCTAGAAATATATTTTATATATAAAAACTAAATTTTAAATTAAGATATAAAATTATTATAGTTATTATATAACTAAAACAAAATTATATTAATGATTTATATTTTTATAAAATAAGATAATTCTTATGTATTATGTTTTTATGTTGAATATCTATTTTCGTATTATAAAACTTTAAATTAAGATACAAAAATTATATTCTTAATATAATTTCGTTTTTGTTATATAATAAATATAAGAATTTTATATCTTAATTTAAAATTTATTTTTATATATAAAATATATTTCTAGATAACAACATAATTCACAAGAATTATCTTATTTTCTAAAATATGATATATTCTTATAAATTCGTTTTATTTATAAATAAATTATATATAAATATTAAAAGATGATAAATAAACAAAATTACCTAAAATTATGGAGAACATGACAACTAAGCAAATTTACTTCTTAAATTAAGATATACAAATTATATTATTAATAATTAAATATATATCATCAAAACAATTATTTGAAAAGTGAATTGTTTGATTTGTCTCTATGATCCTAGGTAATTTTTATCATTTATCATAATTTCTCTAATTTTGTTTATTATTTATTATATAATTAAAACTAATTTATATTAATAATATAATATTTTAGAAAATAAGTTAATTTTTATGTACTATGTTGTTATCTTGAAAATATAGTTTTCTATTAAAAAAATTAAAATTAACATGTAAAAAAAAACTACACTCTTATTTAAAAAGTTAATTTGATGTTTGTTGATTTGTCATATTTTCTATGATTTTAGGTAATTTTAATAAATTATCATACTTCTATAATTTTATATATAATTTATTATATACTAAAAAAATTATATTAGTAATATCAGATTTCTATTCTTGTCTTGAAAATATATTTTTCTATTAGAAATTTAAAATTAAGATATAAAAATTTCTAGTTATTCTATAACTGAAATAAATTTACACTAATAATAGTATATTTTTAGAAAATAAGATAATTCTTATGTATTATGTTGTTAACTTGAAAATATATTTTTATATTATATAATGTAAAAGTAATAGAAAAATTAACTATTATTAATTAAATATATATAATCACTCAAGAAAAAATATTTAAGAAGTGAATTTGTTGATTTATTAAGTTCTCCATTAATTTAGGTAATTTTAATTATATTTCATAATTTATATAATCTTATATAATTAAATTGTTTTTTATCATATTAAATTTTAAGAAAATAAATAACTTATGAATTATATTGTATCTTGAAAATATGTTTTTCTGTTATAAAATTTAAAATTAAGATATAAAAATTATAACCAAATATAAATTAAATAAAAATATTTGTATAAATATTATAGTTATATATAAATCAAGCAAAATAATTATAAAAATATATTCTTTTAAATATTTCTGATGTTTGAGTTTTGTCATTGATAATTATTTGATGTTTCATTTGTACTTTTGAAAACATAAATAGTAACTTATTATGCTGGTTTTTAAATTAATGAAACATCAGCTAATAAATATTCATAAAATAATTACGCCCGCAAATGTGGGCAAAACACCTAGTATCATAGTATTTACATATATCAAAATATTGAATTTTTGGAATTTTGAACATATCAGTAGATGGAATATTTGTAGCAATCGTAATATTTTACGTATCCATTTAGCAAATAATAAATTTTGAAATATAATTAAATTCCAACGATAGGTTCGAATTTTTTAAGCCATAATTATATAGACATATTGGTATAACCGTATAATGTTAAAAATAAATTATGTTGCCAAACGTTTGAACTATGTAAGTGTAAAAATATTATGTTCTAGTCTTAAAAACTAATTGACCCAAATTAATTATAATCTATAATAGGTCCAATATTTGACAAAAAAAAAGGCCAATAAAAAGCAAAAATAAATTAGCTCGTGCACAAAAAAGAAGAAGAATTAGCTCAATTCAAATATATACTAACAACTCAACATGAGCCTTGCAGAGCACACTTTCAGTATCATCTTTCTCACCAAACCTTCTAAAGAACCAAAGTGAGTGTCAATGGCGCCATCGAGAGCTTCCTTCGGTGGCACTTCACAACCTTGCTGTAATATGTTACAACACACGCACCATTAGAGCAGGTACAATGTGGGTTTATAATCAATCCTTATTCAATAACATTTCCGGCTGAGTCCTTATTCAAGTCCATTTATGGACTCAATCCTTAATGCGCTTGCACTTTGTGATTGGGTCGGGTGTAGGTTTTTGTTTCGTAAGGAAGAGAATTGTTTCATCCTCGACATCACACGAAAAAAAACCTGAGACGAAAGGAGAGGCGATAGGAGAGGCGATCTTTAGAAGGGTAGATTGAAGGTAAATCCGATATTTTTGTTCATTTGTTTCCATTCCAAGTTCATGCATGTTGATTTCATGAGTTTAAAGGGTTCGATTGGGGGGTTAAATCGTTTTAAGGTTTCAAATCGAATTGGGGCTTTTAATCGATTTAGGGTTTTCGTCTGGGTTTGCTATTTTCCTCTTTTAGTTTCGCTTATTTGTTGATTTCATCAGGTTAAAAGGTTTGATTGTGGGGTTTAAATCGATTTAGAGTTTAATATCGATTTAGGGTTTAAATCGATTTAGGGTTTTGCTAATTGCTTCTTTTAGATTCGCTTTTTTTTTTGTTATCGTAGGGATTAAATGTTCGGGATTGAGTACAAAATCGAATAACAATTTTTTTGTCTGGGTTTGAATTTTTTTTTGAGCTTTGAATGAAATTCATCGGGGTTTGATTAATGATTGTAAACTTTTTTTTTCTTCTTGTAGGTTCTGAAATGGATGAAGAACATCGAGATATGAAAGCACACAAAGTACACTGCGAGATGCTTCATTACGTTGCAGATGCACAACAGGGGATTCCCAAACTATGCCCCTATGGATCAATCACGAAGGAATTCGTAGATGAAAAGGATACATATGACTACACCCCTGAAAAAGATACTTTATCTGCAAAGACTACCAGGTGTGACTTGTTCTTGTTCTTCCATATACTTATTTGATCATGTTCTTCCATTAACTTATTTGGTGTTTGACAAATATTTTGTTTTTTTAGCAGAATGTCGGGATGCATTTCAGGCAACCATGGGTTATGGATGTTGAACAAGAGGTTGAGAGGCTCAAACTACGCGTCCACGATCATGAGAAGCTTCTGAGAGAGTGCGCTACACTTAAGGTGAGTTTTAATCTTATCAGTAACACAAGATGATAGTTGTCTATAATATCATTCTAACATATTGTTTGGTTTCTCTAACCTATTTCCAGGCACAGGTGAGTATGCTGCTTAGGCGTGTGTCTGAGCTTGAGAGAGTCATGTGAGGTTAGTGTATAAACTTACCCATCTTTATTTGCTTGTTAGAACTCTTTAACTCTCTGATAAATCAAAGGTGTAAATTTAATTTGAATAATCTTTCAAATTGTCATAAATAAATTTGAATAATTTATAATCTTGTTTAAGTTGGTTTGTAGTTTGTAGTCCGTAACTTTGTAGTTGAAAATAATCACTTTGCAGTTGTACTTTCCTACTTGGTAGTTATAAATGCACACTAAACCCCAATTAAATAGACCCTAACTACTTTTTGCAAACTAAATGCACTCTAGCTGTTCTGGTATGACATTTTTCTGCTAGGATTCAATGGAGTTGAATGTAGAATCCCTTATTTAATCCTCTCCGTTTGTAATAGAGGATCACAATGACGTTTTCCTAAATGTCAAGCTCCTCTAGTTTTGTTAATCTCTTAGCGAGTCAAGGGTCAATTGACCTTGCTCATTAGAACCTCCTTTGTTTAGTAGTCAACGTTCTGAGCAGTCTAGTGTCAAAGAGAGAAGAAAATTGTCTGGTAAGGAGGATATAATCATCATAGGTGCTTGGCTCAACACCAGCAAGAATGCAATTGTGAGTAATGAACAAAAAGGTTGTGCCTTCTGGAAGAGGATTGTAGAGTACTACAACTTCAGTCCTCTCCTGGTTGGGACAGTGCCAAGAGAGGTAGGGAAATGCAAGCAACGATGGGCTAGGATCAATGATCAGGTCTGTAAATTCGCTGGCTGCTACGAGACGGCAGTGGGGGAGCAGAAAAACGGTTGAAATGACAACAATTTGATGGGCGCTGCCTTGGAGATCTTCAAGAGTGACCACAGCATGAAGTTCACCTTGGAACACACATGGAGGGAGCTTAGACACGATGTCAAGTGGTGCTCCACGTATATGGAGAAGGACAAGAGGAGAGCAGTGGAGGACGATCCAGTGTCAGAGCCAAAAGAGAGGCCAGTTGGTGTTAAGACTGCTAAGCAAGCTAGCAAGAGGAAGAAAACTGTAAAAGATGAAGAATTGGCGAAGCTAGAAGGACTGTTGGAGATGAAAAAGCAAATCTCAAAGCAAAGTTTGCTAGAAAGTTTACTCTCAAAGCCGGAGCCACTGTCTGAGATGGAACTAGCTCTCAAAATGAAGCTACTGTCTGAAATGTTGTGATGATATTGTTTGATAGGTCTAACTTTAGTGATGTCTACATTTTTTTAACATTCTCTACTGCATTTTTTTACTTTACCTTACTGCATCTTTTTATTCATCTTTCTTTTTCTCTTTTTTCAGGTGAAGTACAAGACCATGTGCCATATGAAGACAAAATCTGGTGTCACGGGTTGTTTCTTTGTTGTTGCTTATATTTCAATTTGAACCAAGTCACGGGTACTTTGTTTTTTTTTTCTCTTGTATTTCCACGTGAAGGTAGTCACGGACAGTGAGCTTTTCCTTTGCTCTCTTGCCTTTATAAGTCAGTTTGTAATGTCGGCAGCTATTTCATTTACTCTTCTTGTACTCAAAACAAGTTATGATATTTTTGCTATTTCCTTTGCTCTTCATTCTTGCCGGATTTGCTTCCCATCTCCCTTGTGTTTGTTGTCTATATATTGCGGTTAAGGTACCTAATGAGTTGTTCATACATTAATGTTGTTGTGGCTACGATTAGTTTTGGTCACCTTGTTGTCTATTCATCATCTTGTTCTCTATATATTTACATTAGCAATTGATTCATCTTGTTGTCTATTCATCATCTTGTTGTCTATAAATTAAATCAGTCTAGTGGTTAATCTGATGAAACAATATAAAACTCATGTAATTGCTTCTTATAAATGAATAATATAACTCGTGCAATTGCTTCTTATAAATACAAACTCATGTAGCCTCATCTGTTTATTTTATCACCAACATATAGCCTCATCGGTTTATTAGATTAAAGATGTACCTAACCAAGCATGGAATATATTCGCTTAAATTTGAACTCTAGTTTACTATTATCTTTGAATCGAACATTGCTTTTTATTATCACCAACTCGTGACAGTGCTTCTTATACTGATGAAATATTATACTAATTTTTAACCATTATTTTTTTGAAGGAGAGATTTGCCAAAATGGCAGATGAAGTAGATCAAAGATTAAATGCGGCTGTGGATGAGGCTATCAATGAATACTTTGAAGATACTTACAATAACATCATGGAGAATCGAACAAAGAAACACAACAAACGTGCATATAGCGAACAAAATCATGAAGCGGGCCACTACCGTCTATGGAATGACTACTTTAGTGAAGAACCGACATTTCCACCTCATATGTTCAGACGCCGTTTCCTAATGAATAAGGAAGTTTTCATGCGTATTGTTGATTGTCTCTCAGAAAATGTTCGATTCTTTCAACAAAGAGTAGATGCAGTCGGAAGGTTTGGTCTATCTCCAATACAAAAGTGTACGGCAGCTATTCGTATGCTTGCTTATGACTGCCCAGCTAACGCCGCTGACGAATATCTCCGACTCGGTGAGAGCCCAACCCTTTCTTGTCTAACTAATTTCACAGAAACTGTATTACAATTATTCGGAGATGAGTATCTACGAAGACCGAATAAGGAGGATCTTCAACGACTACTCGATATTGGAGAGATACACAATTTTCCTGGAATGATAGGAAGCATCGATTGTATGCATTGGAAGTGTAAAAATTGTCCAACCGCTTGGAAAGGACATTACACCTGTGGATCAGGAAAGCCGACAATTGTCTTGGAGGCCGTAGCCTCACAAGATATTTGGATTTGGCACGCTTTTTTTTGGTCCTCCAGGTACCTTAAACGATATTAATATCCTCGATCGGTCACATGTTTTGATGACATTTTACAAGCTCGAGCTCCAAGGGTACAATACGTGGTCAACGGACACCAGTATGATATGGCGTACTACCTCACTGATGGCATATATCCAAAATGGTCTACATTAATCCAATCTATCTCACTCCCTCAAGGTTCTAAATCAGAGTTATTTTCTAAAGTTCAAGAATCACCCCGAAAAGAGGTGGAGCGTGCTTTTGGGGTATTGCAAGCTCGATTTGCGATAGTGAAAAACCCGTCTATTTTATGGGACAAGAAACAAGTAGGGATGGTTATGCAAGCATGTATCATTCTGCACAATATGATAGTAGAAAATGAACGCGATGGATACACTCAGTATGATACAACTGAGTTTGAAGAAGGAACCTCGACGAGAAGTTCAAATGTGGATATACCTGATCCTACCGAGATGCCTCCAAATCTTTCTAATATGCTTCGCAAACGGACTCATCTTCGTGATAGGCAGATACATGAACAATTGAAATATGGTTTAATCAAAAACATTTGAAAAAAAAATTGGCAATGATAGAGATGTTTAATTATTGTATGTTTAAATTTAATGATTCAATAAATAAAAATTTTCTTATTTTAAATGTTTTATATATTTAATATTTTGTTAGATTCAAGAAAAAAAAACTTAAAGGATTCTATAATCGATAACACCATTGAAGAAAGATTTGAGTTTGAAGTCCTTAACTATTCAAAAAAAATATATATATATATATATATATATATATATATATATATATATATATATATATATATATATATATATATATATATATATATATATTATAATCCTAAGGATTCCAATGGTAGGTAACACCATTGGAGGTGCTCTTAAGCACAAACAATTAGTTGGAAAGATATAGAAAGAAACTTAACAAAAACTCACATTGATAGGAGCAAGGTTCTTCTAAAAAAATGAGTAGTTCACATGACCTGCAACAATATATTATGAGTTTCATTCTCTTGCATAAAAAAAAATTAATTCGCTTCCCCAGCAAACATCTGTAACTTTTATAAAATCTGCTATCCGACCAATCACAAACCAACTGACTGAACAGAAAAGATCCTGAGAATGAAAATAAGTAAACGTTAAAATACCCTTAAAAACCTCTGCCGTTGAACATGATGTCACTCTGCAAATTGATGTATGTCTGGTTACTATACTGGTGATGAATCTGCATATCTCACCACTAATCGTGTTGGATAAACTTTGATTACTTGAAGCTCAAGATATCCTTCAACAAGTCGGTTAAGGATAAGATAAGCTTTAATGTAAACCTAGTAGTATTAGGAGTTATCTAGAGCTATTAGGAAAAGGAAATCTACTCTAATATATATACACATACCGAGTTGTGGTAATTGTATAACGTGAGAGAGGAGTGTTTTAGTTTTGAGCATATATTCTAAGACATTCAATAAAGAAAAGCAAGTTCTTTATATAAGTTTTTTGTGATTCCAAAGTTACTTTATTTGGTATCAGAGCGTTAGGTCTAATCGATCATGGGAGACGACGACACACCAGACAACACACCCCGCATAAAGGGATTTACACCACCAGCAATCCTATGCTGAACACAACTAATTACACAATATGGGCTATGAGGATGAAAGTCTTATTAAAGATACTAGGAAACCACCCCGCGTGTAAACGCGCGGGAGAAAGGATGTTTTTTTTTTAAAGTAATTTTTATATATTTTATATTTGTTAGTCAATCATTTTGAATCATTTAATAAACTAATTATTTTGTACGAAGATCAATACTTAAAAAATAATCTTATATAATAGAAGAGTGAAAGTATAATTTGTGTTTGAAAATGTATAAATTTAAATGTTATGTGTTTAGCATAACAATATTAAGTAAACTTTAATATTAAAGTCGCAGTCATTTTCTTTTATCTTTTTATATATGAGAAGACAAACTTTTGAAATTTGTTGAAATGATGGAACAGTTTAAATCTTTTAATTAAATAATATAATATGTTTTAAAACACTGTAATTAACATGCAAAGAACGACATTTTTAAATCTATGAGGTTCAGTACCTCTATACAAACTGGGTTAGAAAAACAAAAAAAAAAAGGACTTTATCAGAAGATGAAAAAGAGATTACAAAAAAAAATAGGTTTTTTCTTACAGCCAGATTGGTTTGGATA